TTGCTTTATTTTTGTAAATTCATTCTACTTCCTTTAAATTGATACAGTTTCTTTAATGAATTATTATTTTTATCTCTATTACAAAGGTTATTTCATACACGCAAACACTGAAGCATATTCAATGAAGACGAATGCAAGTAGTCAAAATGTAGTGTAGCGCCGTCGAGCGGTAAACGGCACACAATATTTTAATCCAGTGGAATTAAGTTAATAATTAATCCATGCTTCCTCAATGAAGTGTTGCTTCAGTGAAAACACCTGGTTATAGTTTTACAATTTATTTGGGTACAGTCCACTAATTGTTTTCCCATAGGCGACAATGTTAACGTTTCTTCTCATAGCGATGTCCCTAATTTTCGTTCAGAAGTGAGTGACCCCTCAAATCAAAGCACATCAACTTGTCTTTCCTTGGTTAAAATCTCGAGGTGGCATGTCAGATTCGTTTTCCGGCAAAATGCGTATGTCTGCGGGAACCTCTGAAAATGAAAGTGAAAGTAGGGGAATTTCAGAATTATCACTGGCGTTATTATACACAAAATAATTCAGCTGATCTTCTTGATAAATTACATTTTCCAAGCTTTTTTGGTAGGAAAGATACTCCTTATCAACAAGTGTGAGGCTCAGTTCAGTACATCTGCCCAATTTTTTTTATGCAAGTCTGCAAATTAAGGAACTTGTAATTTTTTCTGCACTACTTTCTTCTCCTACCGATTCTAAAAATAATTAGTGGGATGTACCCAATATGAAAAAGCATTTTTTTGATTTTACAATATTTCACACTGTTTGTCAATCTAGAGCATAAGTAGAGACATCATGCCAAGTTTCATGAAAATTCAACAATTAATTAAGATTTTACAGCATTTACAGTTCTATGTGTAATATCCTTAAAAAATGCTCCAATCTAGCCAAAACTGCACCCAAGTTTTAGGTCAAATTTAAGCCTATTAACACATTTATACCATTCTTAATCAACTTCATAACTTCAAATACATATAGTCAAATCATAATCAAGCACTTAATTGGGTCAATTTCACTTTTTTTAAAAAATTAATGTATTTCCGCACAAAATATGACCACTTTTCACCCTCTAATTCATAGTTTCTCCAGAAATGACAAAAAAATGAAGTTCACAAATACCCCGAAAGTAGTAAAATAAAAAAGAACTGATTATTTCCTGTCCATTGATGTATCATTCATGAAATTTGGTCTATGAATAAAAAAGTTATAAGCCTTTATATTCCTATATAGAATCATTTGTTTCAAAGCAATTTTTATACCAATGCAAATTTACTCATCTATGACGTCACAATGACATCATAATAATGGATAGCTCAATACATGTGTATCATTACTTTTCCCGTACTTTTCATATAAGACAAAATAAGTGCTTATATACTATTATTAACTTTAAAAAATAAAAATATGTGGTTTTGCAGATTAAATAAAAAATCCACTAAAGTTGTTTTGTTTCCATGGTAACCATTTTGTAATTTGTAGGAAAATGAGACAAAATTTTGAATTTTCTGACAAATCGCATAATGTCGACTGTCAAATATTCATGAAACTTCAATTCTTATATCCGTGTAATCTTAATAATGCATAATTTACAAAACAAAGATGTAGATCTAATTAATTTGAAATTCTTAAATAAGAAAAAAATCTATATAAGTGCAAAATGTATATAGCAGTGCATGTACAGATTAGTTATAGCTAAATACTTTCACATTCTGATCACCTATTAAATATGTAAATTTCCTCACCCCCACCCCATCCCCCACTTCAATGAATTTTTTTTTTTTTTTTTTAGAAAACTTTAACTTACACATTTTGTCGACTGTCACATTCTGCTGGTGCTGTTTCAAGATGTATTCAAATGGGTGTGCATTTGCTGGCCAATAGTTTTAAACACCATCTGCATGGACCTCATGTTTTTCCTGTACCAATCACCATGAACCTAAAAAAAAAAATCAATACAATAAATGGCACAATATCACATTTGCAAACAGACAGACACACAGACATTCAACGCGTACAATTTTACCATATTCCTTTTATGCCCATTACTTGAAATTAATTAATTTTAAAAATGATTAATTTGCTCCCACCTGAAATCACACTGTTAACATTGGTAATTAAGTTAATTCAGCAAAATAGGTAAAAATCATGTTTTACTGACAATAATTGTACATTCAACAAATACATGTAATGCAATTGCTAAAAAATATGAGAAAAATCAGTTAATGTGCACGTTCACACACATCGTTTAACTCCCAGACAACTGTAACCAGCTTCACCGCGCAACTGATCTGAAATGATGTATGTCATGTATGTGACGTGCCGATCATCGACATGTTCCAAATTGTTATTCACAAATATTGTACTAAGGTATACCTCTTACCTCCTGTGTAAAATACAAATGCACATCACCTATATACTGCTAAACACTGCACTGAACAGTTTTGATAACTTTCTGCTAAGTCTACTTTCACTTCGACCTTGACCCCGATTGAATACCGATCCCGAACTCATTTGTGAATTTTTGTGTATTGAAAATAAACCACAGTGGAGCATGTACATCTACATAATTCCTTCTTAATCAAATTATACATTTATGACTCTGAATAAATAAATTATATAAATCGATACATTTAATCTACATGATACATGTGTAAACAATGGGTGATACATGTATGAGCATGTTGACTGTTCAGGGGGGGGGGGGGGGGGCTAGACACTTTATTTATGAATCAATTTGTTTAAAAATGTGTATCAACAATAAAAGAATTGTTTTTTTCATAAATTTGAACAACTGAAAATAATAGAAAACACCAACTTTGAAATGAATTCAAGATTTATGACATCTTTCACTTACTTATAGGCTTCCGAATATGGGTACAGTCCACTAATTGTTTTCCCATAGGCGACAATGTTAACGTTTCTTCTCATAGCGATGTCCCTAATTTTCGTTCAGAAGTGAGTGACCCCTCAAATCAAAGCACATCAACTTGTCTTTCCTTGGTTAAAATCTCGAGGTGGCATGTCAGATTCGTTTTCCGGCAAAATGCGTATGTCTGCGGGAACCTCTGAAAATGAAAGTGAAAGTAGGGGAATTTCAGAATTATCACTGGCGTTATTATACACAAAATAATTCAGCTGATCTTCTTGATAAATTACATTTTCCAAGCTTTTTTGGTAGGAAAGATACTCCTTATCAACAAGTGTGAGGCTCAGTTCAGTACATCTGCCCAATTTTTTTTATGCAAGTCTGCAAATTAAGGAACTTGTAATTTTTTCTGCACTACTTTCTTCTCCTACCGATTCTAAAAATAATTAGTGGGATGTACCCATTTACATGATCTCAAATTTTAATAGTCCAACAGAATGCACACTATAAAATATCCTTGAACAGCACTGACCAAATTAAACTAGATATCATTGAGATGGTGACCATCTCAAAGGGCCCCGCTTTCAACAATGAACATGTAAATGTAAAAGGTATATTTTGAAGAGGAACATTTGTGTATTACAGTGAAAGTAATTTAGTATGACTTCACAGATACTGCGATTTTACAGATATAAGTTATCTTGTTTCCTCAGTTATAAAAATTTACTGGAATTAAGGGAAAAAATTATGCACCAAGCAAAGATTTTAAACATAGAGGCTAATTCTGACTATTGCCTAGAAACTTCGACCAATTAAAGTCACTACACATCCACTGACCAGTGGCACTCTGTGAGTGAAATGAGCCAGATTGGGTCAAGGATTTTTCATTCAAGTCTGCTATGACCTTTGACCTAGAAACATCGTTCAAGGTCACTGCACACCAGTTACCCAAAAGCACTCTTTGAGTGACGTATGAGCCAGACTGGGCCAAGGAGAGAAAAGATATGCTCCGGACAAGAATTTTTCAAGTCAGTTATGACCTTGACCTTTGACCTAGAAACATGGATCAAGGTCACTGCACGCCGGTTACCCAAAGACACTCTTTGAGTGACGTATGAGCCAGATTGGGCCAAGGGGAGAGAAGATATGCTCCAGACAAGGATTTTTCACACAATTCTGCTATGACCTTGACCTTAGACCTAGAAACATGGTTCAAGTTTACTGCACACCGGTTACCCATGGGCACTTTGTGGCTGAAGAATGAGTCAGATTGGGCCAAGGGGAGAGAAGATATGCTCCGGACAAGGATTTTCACACAATTCTGCTATGGCCTTGACCCCTTGACCTTTGACCTAGAAACATGGTTCAAGGTCACTGCACACCGGTTACTCATAGGCACTTTGTGGATGAAGTGTGAGCCAGATTGGGCCAAGGGGAGAGAAGATATGCTCCGGACAAGGATTTTTCACACAATTCTGCTATGACCTTGACCTTTGACCTACAAACATGGTTCAAGGTCACTGCACACCAGTTGCCCAAGGGCACTTTGTGGGTAAAGTATGAGCCAGATTGGGCCAAGGGGAGAGAAGATATGCTCCGGACAAGAGATCTCGGACGGACTGACGGACGGACAGCCGGATGGACAGACGGACGGACGGACAGACTGATCACTATAGGGCGCCCGCTGAGCGGGGCCCTAATAAACTCCATCTCTATCTATTATACTTCTCCTATGCATCTACTATTCTATTCTACCCAGAAACTTTCTGTCCCCTGTATATATATGTAGTAGGTTGCTCACGAAGAGCAACGCTCTTAACTGGGTCAGTTACATAAGTTACACAGCCGCTGCTCACAAGGAGCAACGGGTATCCGTACTATAAATAAACATAATCTAACATAGGGTTCTAAATGAAACAATTAAGACTAATTACAGATAATTAAAATAATATAACATTAAATCACGACTTTACAACTTCCCCCTTCTTAGCTTTTGGTTCCATACAAAAGAATAAAAATATCACGTATTTAGAAATAATTATCAGTGCTGCCCAATCAATAGCATATAAAACAAAATCAAATAAATATATACAAGTTGATATTTACAAAGTCACATCTACATAGAAAAGTCTCCTCTAATAACACGCGTTTTTCCTTCTCGGCAATGTTCTTTCACTTCCTCGAATACTTCACTGGCCACAGAGTTAAAGTCCACGTTTTCCGGATCAATGTCTTCGGAATATAAGATTTGCGAATCCCTACTAACTTCAATTTTTCCATCAGGAAAAGTAGTGGTCACTTTATTAAGAATCAAACAAATTGTTGATTTAACTTGCGTCACATTGTTGTGTTCATTGTCACTTTCTTCACGCTCGGACAGGGTTTCGTATTCCACGCGACTCTCGGGGGTTTCACTACGTCCCTCATCGTCTATGTCCTCCTCCTCAGGTCGAGTCAGGTTCTCGGCGTCCAACAAGTCCCTCACAAAGTCGTCTGATGGTATATCACCCGAATCCAACGAAATATCTTCTAAGAAATCTAGCTCACTTTGCTGTTTTGGCTGTTCATCTCTGTCATTCTCTGTGGTAAATTCTTCGTCGGAGGAAATGTTCTCGTACTGTTCGCTTAAGACGTACACAGGTTTCTGAGCCTCTTCGTAACTTTGTCTTTTCACCGAATATCTTTTCCGATCCATGGCTTCACTCAATGTGGTCCCATCTAGTTTGTGAACAAGTCTGTAGTGTCTCCGTAAGTTATAGATTCTGGTAAATGTCCTCTGGCAAAAGTTACACTTTAAACACTCAAGATCAGATGCATGTTGTTCTTTCACGTGTAAGTTAAGGTTGCTGGCTCTTGAAAATATTTTCCAACAGATATCGCAACGCATATCAATTATAAGTACAAGTGATTGTCTCTGAAGCGAAGCGGTCTTTTTATAATCCTCCCGTGCCTGGTTGTCTGGGTCGGGGGAATCTGGGGCGTGTCATTCTCCAACTCGGAATCTGATTGGCTGGCGGCTGGTGACTGAAGTCTGGCGTCTGCGACGGGTGGACGAACTGGCGGCGTCTTCAAAGCGTTTTGCTTTCGTCTGCTGAATCGAGCGCGGCGATGCGTAGCGGGTGCTCTCTCCGGCTGGTCACGCGTGTATTCGGGGCTTTGTTTTGACGGATATTGTTTATTCCCTCGATACAGTTTGATATTGTCTGAATGGATGACTACTGGTATTGATTTCTCTGAATGTTTTATTTGGAATAAAACATCACTGAGTCTTTTGACAACAATCCAAGGTCCTGTCCATTTTCGGGCTAGTTTAGTTTTACATCCGACAGCAACTTTAGGCTGGCTCCGGCGAACTAAATCTCCAACTTCATAATTAATAGAACGAACATTCCGATCATAAGCTCGTTTTTGTCTCTCAGAACTTTGATTCGTTGTAGTTCTCACAATGTCATACATTTCACACAGATTTTTCTCTAGATTACGCACATATTCCGCTGTATTTCCGAACATTCTCTCTTCGTCACTATCCAAATTTTCTGTCATTAGATTCACTGGAAGAGTCATTTCTTCGCCGAATACCATTCTGTACGGTGTTAGTCCAGTTGATTCATGTACAGTGCTATTATACGCAAACACAATACCATCTATGAATTTATCCCAGTCTGTTTGATTCACCGAAATATACTTAGATAGCATATCTTTGATGGTCCTGTTTAGTCTTTCAATCATTCCATCAGATTGCGGATGATAAGACGTGGTGCGTGTTTTGTTGATTTGCGGGAATTTGCACATTTCCCGAAATAACTGACTCTCAAATTGGGCACCTTGGTCTGAGTGTATTTCTTGCGGGCATCCATAGCGTTTAATCCATCCTCTAAACATAGTTTCGGCTACTGTTTCGGCTTCAATATTCCTGAGGGGAAATATTTCCATGAATTTAGTAAAGTAATCCGAAAGCACTAGAATATATACGAATCCATTTGCTGATTTCGGAAACGGTCCAGCTATATCCACACCAACTCTTTCGAATTTAACACCACTCATATAAGTTTTCATATAGCTCCTTTTCTTCCTGTATGGATTTTTCCGTTCCTCACAAATATCACACGAAGAAATATAATCCTGAACATATCTCCGAAAATGAGGCCAGTAATAATTGCTTCTGTTAAGTTATTCATATGTGCGTCTTACTCCTAAATGTCCAGCTGTCACAGCATCATGAAAATTCCACATTACAGCGTTCCGTAATTTCCGAGGCACTACGATTCTTAAGCGTTCTGTGCTGTCCTCAATCCATTTAATACACAAAAAACCTTGGTTTACAGTCAGTAATTCCCATCGTGAATAGAGAAATTTGCTCTCAAAACCAAGACTTGACACTGATTCTATTGCTGGTTTTGGAAAATCCGGGTCTTCTTTCCACTTAAGAAATGGTGATATATTGTCATCAGTCAACTGAAGTTCTCTAATATTGTCTAAACACAACGATGTTTCAGGCTGTTTCCTAGGTTTAGCTTGTACAGGTCGATTTGGAATACGTTTCGAGGTCCTGTGAGGTTGCGAATTATCACTTAAATAACACAGATTCGTTTCCTATCCGTTTCTGGAAATAGGGTTTTTATGTCACACACGTAATTACAAGACTCGTGATCTCCACTGTTAGCTAATTTCCGCAAGTCCTCTATGTGATAATATTTTGTATCACTTGGCTCCTCTGTCACATTCATTTTGCACTGTTTACATTGTCCATTCTGGGTATTAATCCTAGTTAATCCGTCCGCGTTTCCATGGCGTTTTCCAGGTCTATTATGCTGAATTTGAAACGTATATGAAGCTAGTTGTTGAAGCCAACGAGCGATTTGTCCATCAGGTTCTTTAAACTTATGTAGCCACACAAGTGATCCATGATCTGTCCTCAGAATGAATTCTCGTCCAAGCAAGTAATGTTTGAAATGTTTTATGAAGTAAACAAGTGCTAACATTTCTTTTCGCGTAATACAATAATTTCTCTCAGCTTTTGTAAGAGTACGACTTCCGTAGGCTATCACTTTTTCCTGTCCGTCCTGAATCTGTGATAACACTGCTCCTATTGCGTCATTGCTGGCATCCGTATCCAAAATAAAAACTCCTCCGTTTATATCCGGGTAACTTAGGATAGGTGCACTCACTAACTTTGATTTCAGGTGATTAAATGCTTCATCACATTCGGAAGTCCAATTCCATGGTTGATTTTTACAGGTAAGTTCGTGAAGGCATTTAGCAATTTTTGCAAAGTCTTTGATAAAACGCCTGTAATACGAAACTAATCCAAGAAAACTACGCAATTCTGTAACGTTCCGTGGAATGTGCCAGTCCACTACAGATTCTGTCTTGCTTGGGTCTGTTTTGATTCCTTCAGCAGATACTATATGTCCTAGAAAACTCACTTCATGATTAAAGAAACTGCATTCCTTGGCCTTCAATTTTAAATTAGCATTCTCTAATCTATCAAATACTAAACTCGAGTTCTTTAAATGCTCCTCGAATTCTCGGCTATACACAATAATGTCGTCTAAATACAATACTGCTATGTGCCACTGTAAACCTCTTAAGGTTTGCTCTATTACTCTTTGAAAAGTAGCGGGGGCATTGCACAGTCCAAAAGGCATGACTGTATATTGATACAGTCCTCCCCGTGGAGTTCCAAAGGCTGTTTTCTCCTTGTCACACTCTCGCATTGGGATTTGATGATAAGCCATATTAAGGTCAAGTGAAGTAAACCATGTAGATCCGGATAACGCATCTAAATCTTCCGCAATTCTCGGGATAGGATAGGCATCTTTAATGGTTTGAGCATTCAGACGCCGATAATCCACACATAATCTCCAGGTCTTGTCTTTCTTTTGCACTAGTACAAGGGGAGATGACCTAGGACTTACTGATTCTTCAATCAACCCTTGAGTTCTCAGTTTATTAATCTCCGCATCCAATATCTCTCGCTTAAATATTGGTACTCTCCTTACGGGTTCTTTAAATGGCGTTTCATCTTTCAAGTTAATCCGATGTTCTCCAACATTTGAGCGCTGCAGGGCATTTCGGGGTCAGCAAATGCAGATTTCCGACAAAGTAAAAACTGTTTGAATTTAACTGCTTGTTGTGGGGTTAGGTTTTTGCATCCTTCTTGATACATTTCCCTCAGAAATTCAGGAATATCCTCAGAATTCTGTCCAGTTTCTATATTGCACACATCTGAATTCCGCACCTCGTCACTGACGTAATTAACAGGTTTCACTAAAGCAATTTCCGTGTTTTCCTTAACACAAACTGCTTTGTCTCCTGGGTTAAAAACACGCACAAATATAACGCTGTTTTTAGTATTCACTAATACACGTCCAACCACAAGTCCATGTGTGTTGACAAATTTCATCATCGGTACTAATATACCTTCCATATTAGTACTAGGAATCACTCTGGATTTTATCACAGCTTCGTGTCTCGCCGGAATTACAATATTCTCCACTGAACGAACACGACAGCTAATCTCTGCATTCTCGCTTGTGTGCACACATCTCATCATCAAGTTGTGATTCCGATAATCCCAGTGACATTCATATTTCATCATAAAGTCTTTTCCAAGCAGGTTACACTTCACGCCGCCCACAAATACTCGAAAATAAATATCTGTCTGCCCAAAAGTTAAAATCATGTTAGCAGTCCCTATAACATTCATTGGTCTTCCGTCTGCAGTCTCAAATTTCTTTCTCACTTGCTCCAGTACAGGTCTGTTCTGAGGAAGAATACTATAATAAACGTCTTCAGAGATGAAAGTATTTGCCGCACCAGTGTCGATTTTCCACTCTACTTCTGTTCCCTCTAATAAGCCTTTTACTGTCATATCAGGCTTTCCATCCACCACTACACAAGATTGAGTTGCGCAGTTAGGCTGTTCCTCCATTTGTTTCAAATCAGTGTGCGTTTCATCAGTTTTCGTTTCTGCAAATGCCATGTGATGTTTCACATATACATCATCTGTACTAGGCCTCTCCTGTTCTATGACCGACGCATGGCCTACTGCCTCGGTCGATCCTGGTTTTACTGTTGGCTTCTGTTGGAGACATGGCTCCTCCGGATCCCAGTTCCGGAATTAGGTCTTACATTCTTAGGATAATCTCGCATCAAATGCTGAAGCGAATTACACTTGAAACACCTCTTTGTTGACTTAATCGAACATGTAGATTTATTTTCCGGGATTAAACGCCTGTTTTCCTTGACCTCGTATACTTGCGGTGCGTACAGTTTGTGCTTCCTGTTTTCTGTGAATCTAATGCACTCCTCTTGCATAGTTGCAGTTATGGCCTCAGAGAGATTCTTTGGACGTGTTCGCTTCACAGCAAGCCTAAAATCCTCGTTTGAGCTGCAATTGTCCAGGAAAGTCTTCAGAGAACTCTCCGTTACAAAATCCCGGTTATCAGGGAAAGCATGCCTGTATAAATCCTCAATTGCTTGACCAAAATCCCTAAAAGTCTCGTTTCCCTTTTTACGGCGTAATTTAGCTTCCGCAATGTAACTTTCTTTTAAGGCAGTATGCCCAAATCTCTGGTTCAAGGCAGTTTTAAGAGAATTGTAATCTTGTAATGTATTCTCGGGTAGTCCGTATGCATATGCCTCTGCCTGATCTCGGAGGGTAGTAACGTCTCATACGCTGTTGAGTCCACT